CCGCCCGCCGTTGGGGCTGTGGCTCTCCCTTCCCTTCCGCGCTTGCCTCCGCTTGTGGGTAGCGTAGGGGCTGGCAGGCACCCGGGGAGGTGGTCCCTCTGCTACCCTCTTACTGCTGAAGCCCTTGAGTGCCAGCGTTTGGTATGTGAGCTGCCCTCCAGGAATATATCTGGGTTGTTTCGTCTGGTGGTTTTTGTTGTTTGTTTGTTTATTTGTTATTTTAAATCGCCTTTTCAGTTGCCTTTCTTTTCTCGTTTTCATAGGTTCTATTTATTATTAGCTGTTATTCATATCAGCCGTGTTTATCAGCTTCATGTGTCAGTAGGTCCAAGCCAAAGCTAACGCTAACTTCGTTTTTATTAGTCTTTTAAACGTTTCTAGCTCCTTAAAAATGATTATCTATTCCCAAAACCTTCAGTATAACCCTAAAAAGTAAAAACTATGACTTCCCTATGTTTTTCCTTATTTTTTTCCTCTCCCTCTCTTTTTTTCCAGGTATAGCTTAGTGTTATGGGTGATACAAAAGAAGCTAAAATGCAGATAACACCAGAAACTCCAGGACGAGTCACAGTCCTGAATCCTTTTGAAAGTCCCAGTGATTATTACACTCTTCAGGAGCAGATTGTCTCCAGTCCTTCAGTCTTTAAATCGACAAAATCCTCATCTGTAAGATCTAGTCTTTAGTTGTGTAACTATACAGATGTAGTACTACCATTCTGAAATGCATTAAAAAGTGTATTTTATTTAGTGTACTTTAATGTGCATACTAAGCCAAAGAATTTTGGTGGCATTTGGTGTTCTGATTGTGGAGTATGCTGCTTTTAATACTAACATTGTCACTTAGTCTTCCTACTCCCCTGTTTTTTTTTTCTTTAGATATTAGGTGTATCAGTAGATTAGCATACACCTGCTAAGTGTCAAAAGCAGCTGAAAGCAGATAAAGGGCAGTTGTTGGATGTGGTTGGTGTTCTTGTCCCACTTAAAGTGGAAAAAAAACCAGTTCCTACTTACATCCTAAGCAGGTTGGATGAAAGTAAAACTTAATTATGCTTCTGTTATGAGCTGTTTGCATATTCACAGAATCAAGTTAATGATTTTGTGTCTATATAACATTTTTTAGTTGCAAATTAAATTCTGGTTTGCAGTTGGAATTATTTTCTGATAAGCAGTAGAGATGATGCTGTGCTAATGAAACTACAAAGGCTCGCTTGGTAGATCATTTTCCAAACAGATATTTGAACAGTATTATATATTATTTTATCTTGTAAAAATGCCACTGCTGGGATAAAGAAGTCTGACTGACTTACTCATTTTTTTTAAAGTAGGTCATTTAACTAGTAACTCTTTTGATAGTTTTTGACAGAATCTATATGGAAGTTATGATTGCGTTGTTCCATTGAGATTTGTCCTGTGGTTTAATTTTTAACTTTTTAGACTAGCAAGCATTAAGATGTCCATTTCTTTTTTTAGACACCAGGAAAATTTAGATGGTCTATTGATCAGCTTGCTCTAATAAATCCTGTGGAAATTGACTCAGAAGATGTTCGACGCCAAGCAATGTATTTGAGTCATGCTAGGTAACTCACCATCTGTTTTTATGCAGTTAACTTAGCTTGAATACTAGAACACTGTTCTTTTGCTTTATTGACATTTCAACACAGAATTGAAGACTCTTTTTATTAAAATCTTTTAACATAGATTTTTATGTGTCCCTGAAGTGGATATAATATTTAGATGAGGCTGCCTCTGTGTCGCTCTCTTTTAATGTTAAGAACTGCTGATCCACTCTGATTGCAGTTTGGAAGACAGCCAGATAAAAGCAGTCAACGGAAGCAAGAAAATGTCTTGCCAGTGATTGTTACCAAGCTACCTCTCCTGCTCCTTGTCACAACACAATTTATCTTCTTAGTGTTCCACACAGAGACCTATGAAGTGTAGGTTTCTTTGGGATTCCTGCAGAAGGGTAGAGGTGGGAAAGTTAGCTAAGTAAGCCAGTACCTTCTTTGAAAGGTATAGATTGGAATTAATGTGAAGGAGGGAAGATGAACAGGCTTGCAGTCTTTGAGAAGAAGGGGACTGCTAGTTACTTGAAATAATTTGGGGATCCTGATCGTGACTTTTTGCTTTCTCTGAAAATAACTTCCATGGGGAAAATAAATGAGTAAAACAGGCTTTGTATTCACAACTCGCCTTGAGGGATAGCCTTACATACTAATGGTACAGAACAATGTGCCAGGTGAAGGTAGTCAAGGGAAGGCCGCAACGGTGAGTCATGTAGACACTCCCATATGTTTCTCAGATACAAACTTGCACAAAGAATTGCACCTCATGGCATGAAGCACCGCAGTAATAGAATAATAATCCTCTGTCCTGTTTATGCCTATAAGGCTTTCAAGTCCTGTTAGTGAAATGAAACACAGATAGAGGGCTGTTTAGGGCAAGAGTCCTCTGAATATTCATAGAATCATAGAATAGTTTAGGTTGGAAGGGACCCTTAAAGGTCATCTATTCCACCCCTTCTGCAATGAGCAGGGACATCTTCAACTAGATCAGGTTGCTCAGAGCCCCATCCAACCTGACCGTGAGTGTTACCAGGAATGGGGCATCTACCACCTCTCTAGGCAACCTGTTCCAGGGTTTCACCACCCTTACTGTAAAAAATACTGTGAATTAGACCTATTGTTCTTAGTGTCTGACTGAACCTACGTCTTTCTTTTTGAACAGGAAGAGGTATAAGAAGGAGTATGAGTTTCTTGCTCCAGTAGAGATATAGAAAGAATATAACTGTCCTCAGCTGTATCTGTGAATCACCATGTCTTAATGTCGATATTATTTTTCTTAACATCTGTTTGTTCCCTGACCTTCCTCTATCAGCCAGTAGGTTTCAGACTCTTAATGCTTTGTATAGGTTATAAAGCCTTAAGCTTTATGTTTTTAGGGAGTTGGTTACATTGTTTCTGGAAGCCTATTAGGACACACACAAGCTAGTTTTAATTTAGATGGCTTGGGTGATAATTCCAATGATGATTAGTGACACGGCCTATAGATACAAATGTGTTGTCTTGGTGGGTCCTTTCAGCCTGTCCCACTGTGGTATTTTTTTTTTTTTTACATCATCTGATATGGCTAGAAAGAGGCTGGTTTGTCTATGTGTAGATTTGCTGTGTCCATGCTTGCATGCTTCAGTGTAGTACAGACCGAGGTGATTATTTCTGGTGGCTGCAAACTGTTAAATGCAAATACATGTATGTGCATGTATGTAAGGTTTTGTTTGGCAACTGATTTTTAATTACATTTCATAAATACTGCTTTATGGAAACTAAAGTGTCATAAATACAGCTCTTGACATTAAAGTTCCTGATAAAAGAATTGAGTTTTTGATGCCCATGTGTAATGTTACACAAACTATATACTCCATTTTAACAGTGCTTGTTAAAAAGTAATTTTCTCAATTAGTTGCGAAGAAGCACAAGCATAAGAAATTTGGTGTATAAATATTTCAAACCATTAATTCTCCTTTATGTAGTGAAAACAGTTCGGGTAGCAGCACAGTGTGAAGGCTCGTGAGCACTTTGTGAAGTCTGCGTATCATATGTAGACTTGATTTTGTGCAGTATTACCATTTCCATAAACTGGGCATCATCTATGTGCTGTGTGTTCATTGCACTGCTTATAAAATGATTAAGAGAACTTTTTTCTGGCTAGCTGTGTTAGTGAAAAATAGTTTGTCAGTAATAGAGCAGGACAGTGACACGGTCTTGTCCACAAACTTTCCTTTTCCTTTTTTATTTCTACTGGTAGAAATTGAATGTTTCTAAATTGTGTGCTATACTATTATATGTTAAGTATTAAAAAACCTGTACTGCATCTTGCATACTGTGTGCACAGTTGCTTGAAGTTACATACAAGATTGGCTTGTTTTTATTCTTGTTAAATACATATGTTTTCACTTTGTTATTTTCCTGAAGTTAATGCACTAAAGCAAAAACATCTTCTGCACTAACCAGCACTTTTAATGGGAGCTGTTTTCCCAGTTCCCCTGCTTCTCCTTTGGAATCTGGCTTCTAAAGATGCTTATTACTCGTGATCCACTATGCATAAACATACAATGGTTGTATGCTTTTTTTGGTACAATAACTGAATTTTGTGCACGTGTCCTCATAGAACTGTCACTTTAGCATCATCTAGGGACACATCGTTGAAGATGGCATGTCCAAGTATTGAAGATCTAATCAAAGTCTGATTAGCATCAAAGAAAGAGGGCTGTGAGGGGAAGCTTATGGATGTATTGGGTACATCTACATGTGTTTGTGTAGCTAATTATGTCTGTTATCTGACTGATTTCTAACATTATTCAAGGGTAATTCAGGTGTACTAACTGTATGAAAGTATTATGTGACGATGATGAATATTCCCTGTAAAATTTTTTTAAGTTTATACATTATGCAGTAGTAACTGAAAGTGAGACTTGAAGGTGGCCATTAAAGGAAGTATAAATGTAGAATCTCACACATAATTTGAAAATGGCTGAAGTAACTACAATGTTTTTTAAAAAACTAGGTTAAAAGCTGCATAAGGGAATGTGCTAATTGATTCAAACTGAAATATGATATTGTATCCTGAACTGAAGAAAACATGGCAGATTAGCTGTTTGAAAGGGGGAACTCTGTGCTGGGAAAGTGGGCTGTGTCAGGAATTTGAGTATACAAACATGCCATGAGTATTCGTCTGTTGCCTATTCCTTACAGCTCAGTTTTTCATTCTGCTTGATTTTGTAGTGAGATTCTTTGTGAGGCAAATGTCATGGCAACCTTAATAGTCAAATCTAATATGAAAAGTTCAATATAACTAAATGGATTATTTTGGAACATAGGTTATGACTGAGTTTTTGTCTAGATAAAAATACTTGCTGCTACAAGGAGTAAATAGAAGATGCTTATTACTTATATAGAAGATGCTAATTACTTATATAAATGGTACAGATCTTTTTCAAATGAGCTGAAGTAACTGAGAAGTACATTTATATTTCTAAATTTATAGTATGAGATTGTTGCACGTAATGGTAAAAACATAAGATTTAGGTTTTAGTGCAATTTCATATAGAATGTTTCTCTTAAGTATCTGTAAAAGATTAAATGGTTGGACTTCACTGTTTTTTCCAATTATGTGATGGCTTTGATAATTGAGTTTTTTCATTTGTTACTTAGAATTGATAAGGAGACAGAAGACAGAAGGCAAAAAGCCATTGAAGAGGTAATAAAACTTTCTATGCTATCAAGTATTGATTTGTTTTGCCTACATACTTACAAAAAAGATCCAGATCTGTGACAGGATTTCAAAACCCAGAAGCTGATTATACTGGTCAGTAAGAAAGTAACTTTGTGTCCTCATCCTCTGTGGTTGTAGTTGAAATCCATACGGTATTTTTCTTCCCATCATCTTTCACACACCTATAGGTCAAACCAGCAGATTTTGTTTCTTTCATGTTGCTTGGCTAGTGGGCATGTAGCTGTCAGATAAGTCTTATAAGTAGTTAACTTAAGGTTAAAAATAATGGTTGATAATGATTTGCAGTAACTGTTAGTGTTAGGTAGCTTAGTTTCTTTTATTGCCATTTTAAAAATGTAGTAGAACCTCGGTGATCTTTTTATTTCTTCTGAAGTCAAGTTGGAGGCAACACTTTCTTCTGGTTGCTTGTAGTTCTTTCTATCCACTTTTCATTTTATTTTTTACTATCCATTTGTCTACCAAAAAATGAAAATTGTTCAGATCATCACTATAGAAATCTTCAATGTTATTTCTATTTGAAAAAATAAGACTCTAATTAGGAAGTCTTCCTTAGTGTTTGACCTTTTTCTACTGTATCATGCTGTTATTAGTTTCTGGCCCTATAAACAAAAAATGGTTTATGATTCCATAAAGGTGATATGTAGTTGACCTGCAGCTAAGATACTGTATTGTTCTAAATGTGTATTACAAAGGGTATTTCTTCTTTGTGAGGCATAAGCTAATGGATTATGCAGCTGAACAGCTTGAAACCATGTCTCTGATAAAAATTACGCTTTTAATAATCGGGTGTTTCAAGCTGAGTTTTTTTCATTTGCTTTGAGTCTTGTTTTTATTGTGAGAACAGGATTTGCCATGTATTTCTTGAAGCTACGTAGTAGTGTTCATCTCCTCATCATCAAGGTGTTCTAGAGTGCAACTGTGACAGCAGATACAGTTTCTGCTTCAAAGAAAAAGACTGAAGTGCCAGTACTCATAAATGTTTCACTACTCCCTGGTTCAGCCAAATACCCTAATTATATTGCGAAAAAGCCTTAGTTGTCCACTTCTTTTACTGAAATTGCAGTATGTCTAGCACTTAAGCAAAATAGCTGAATTGTTGAAATACAAAAACTTAACAAAGTGAAAATTTGAAAAGAATTCTGTTAAACTACTGTGCAACAAGTGTGGTAGAGACAATTCAAATTTTTAAATGAGTAATTAGTGTTAAATGAAACTTTTGTACCATTTTCACTCTGCAGGCTTGAAAGATCTGAGGTGGTACATGTCATAAAGAACTTGGGGGAGTAGTCTTCAAATCAAATTCTTTAACCTCTCTAGGCCTGAAATAATGAAATATATTTTGGCTGTAAGGGATTACTATCTTTATAGGTTTGGGGGAAGGAAGAGGTAAAATTCTTAAAATATAGAACTGTGAGTAGCGAGAGGAATGATTTCAATTTAGATTAGTACCCTGAAGAAGAAAAATTTGAGTGCCTCCAATTTTTAAAAATGCTTAGACGGTTTATTTCTGTTCTACTCTAGTTTTTCACGAAAAAAAATTTGAGTGCCTCCAACTTTTAAAAAAGATGGTTTATTTCTGTTCTACTCTAGTTTTTCACGAAAAGACTCATAGTTCCTTCTCCTTGGATTGAACATGAAGGCAAGCAAGTTTCTCAGTTTAGTTCAACTAAATGTAAGTTGCTTTTATGTGTCCACCCAAAATAATCTAGTTTTTGATGGAATTATCAAGCATCTTTTTTTTAAACCTCAAATTTTAAGAGCCAATAAGTGTGTCCACCCAAAATAATCTAGTTTTTGATGAAATTATCAAGCATCTTTTTTTTTTTTAAACCTCAAATTTTAAGAGCCAATAATAAAAGATTGTACAACTGATGGATTTTTAGTTGTTATCTCCAAATGCTTTCTTTGTTTAATAATCATTTATTAATCCAGAATCTTAGATAACTTTTCATTTTTGTTATTTTGGTCCCTGTTCTTAAAATACTTTTCCTTTCATATCCTGTCTTCAACCAGTTTAGTTTACAAGCACAACTTTGCTGCATCAATACTGGTAATAGCCAAGTCTTCTACTTCACACTTTCTTCTGATACCTGCACATCTGACTTATTCTAGCTGCTTTCCTGCCAATACAAATATATGGGAAATGAGTTCCATATTTTTCTACCCTTACTGGCTATGTAAATTCCTTTTGTCCTCTTGGTGTCCTGCTTGCTGACTGTCACTGTACGCAGGGTTGTGTATTTTCTAAATTTATTTTATTTACACCAGTATTAGATTTTCTTATTAGTGCTACTGTTATTAAAATTTATATATAACCAACAAGCTGGACACAGGTCAACTATAAAGTGTTGTTTGCATTCAGTATTGTTTGGTAGGAAATTAATAAATAAGTTTTTGGGGATTTTTGCAAGATTTGAAAGAGGCTAAACTGTTAAAATATTTTGACGAGATGCAGTTGTGGACAGTGTTTTTTTAATTGTCAGTTGTAACATTGTCACTTCTTGGGCAGAGCCAGAATCCTAAACCTGGGAAAGTGAGTGGTGAAAGAAAATGGTGTAATATGTTCCTTAGCTGTATAAAAAGAGTGGAGTGTTAGATTCTTCATCTTTGTCTTCATCAGACTGCATGATTTTATGGAAATTGTTTTTCTTGAACACCACCTGTTTGGTTAAGCATAAACTGAGTTGGATTTAAATCTCTGTAATGTAGAGGAGGCTGCGGGAGACAAAGATCTGTGCAAAGTTGATGCTACTTCACTAAGCTTTTTTTTCTAATAGAAAGGTGCTGAAATTCTCTTAATCAACTATAATGGTAACCTTTCTTCAGTACTCCTTTGTAATGTCTTCCAAACTTTGATGCAAAAATTTTGTTTAGTTGTATTAAATTTTGTAACTTACTGCTGCTAGATTTCAAAACTCTGTATGCAATGCATGCTTAAATTTCAGTTCTTATTTGTTTTACAGCCATAGATCTAAACATTTCTCCAATTGGAAGACAGCTAACTTTGCAGCCTGGGAAATGCAATGGTGGGTAAAAGGCAATGTCTGAAATTACAGGCTTTCTCTGAAGCAAGATAACCCATTTTTTCATGGCTACTTAATTTCAAAAGGGAATGATGGTTTTTTTTGTTAATATTCCTGTAGAAATAACTTTTCTTGAACTGTATGGAGCTATTAATTTTAATGCCCATTTCTCATAGTCTTTTAATTCTATTATACGCTTTTGTATTTTTTCGGAAGTAAAAGCTGAAGTCTTCTGTAGACTGTAAAGTGCATTTTTTCCAAGTCAATGTGTGTGCTTTTTCTGAATTAAAAAGTGAATATAAGCCCCAGGTTTATGGGTAACTTACAGTTTCAGTGTTGGATCATTTTGGGTTAGAAAATCTTGATTATTTTCTCTGCTAAATAGCAGAAATCTTAAAGTATCTTTCAAACTATTTAATTTTAGATAAAATAGACAGTGTTTTCCCCCAGGGTGTTTTGATGATCTTTTTCCCATTTCCTTTTGAATCCTTCCTTTCTTCAGAGACCTCTCTCCTCAGTTAAGAATGCCTCTCTCAAGCCTTTTATGTTACACCCTTGGTTTTTTATCTCTAGGCCTGAGTGTGCTGTACATAGTGTTGTTGAATCAGAATCCTAGCTTTAACACTTTTCCTTAGTGCAACTGTAACTTAAACAGCTCAACTGCAGTGCAATTTGAAAGTGAATTTTTGTTTCTACAATTTTACTAAAAGGTCACTGCAAGCTAATTTTGTTGGTTTTATTCATTGCAGCCTCTTGTCAGACAGTACTGTCTTTGCCAGTGGATTTTAACTTAGAGAAAATACTAGGTATGTCGTGTAATATCTAAATTTCATTATGAATGTCTAAAAAACTTGTTTCTGTATTGTTTGCTGGGATTTTTTTGTCTTACGACATTGAAAACCTAATGTATGAATGAAAGTTTTAAGTCCAAATAGACAATGACTGCATGTTGCATGGGACTTAATATGATTTGAGTGTAGATATAAAGATAAGAGGAGGGATGTGGAGGACAACTGGAAATTTAGTAACAATTCTGAATGTATAAAAGGTAGGTGGCAGAAGACACCTCCTGCCTCCCCCAAACACAGCAGTTATTTAACTTAGCAAAGCTGTTTCACTTACAGATTGCTGGCCACGAGGCTCATAGCCCAACCTTGCCTTGAGCAAAGCTATGCTATAATTTGTGCCTTTAATTTAGTGGAAGCCATGGCAGTGACTAGAATTTGTGTGGTGGGGAAAAAAGCTGATGGGGGAGTCCAAATTCACTGTCTGGCTATGACTGCTATATCCATCAGTTGCTGCCAGATTCACAGGCAAGGGGGCTAGAAAGGCCAGTGCATATATGGCAATAGGGGGTATAGCCAGCTCAGAGGTTTTTGGCTGCATGCTCCTCTCCCAGCATTGAAGTTCACAACCCTGGTTGTGGGTCACCAGAATTAAAACAGAAAACCAGAACCATATCTATTGCTTTTGTGTTTCGTCTTAGCAAATGCTTCCATCAATGCATAGTTTGTGAATTCATGAAAAGTTTCTTCTATAAGAAATATCCAATTAGAATAGAGCAAAAGCAAAAACTAAAATAATCTGGTAAGTCTCAGCATATTTTAATGGGTCTTTGTTAACATCAGTATGCTCGTCTACTATAAACTGCTAACTGCTTTGACTTTCTTAGAGTTGAATCTGGTTTGCCTTTAATGTATCACAATGACTATCAAAACATATGAGAGACCTGAAAAAGGGGATCTAGTTTTGCTTGGGTAGTGTAATAAACCCTTTTATACGGCTCAGATATGAAGAATAATGCAATTTGGGGAAAAGGCCATTAAGTACATGCTAGCCAGTGTTTTTTAGATGTAAATATTGATATTAAAGGATGATAGGCAGAAGTGGAACCTTGGTAGACCAAGTAGACTTCCTGTGATAACAAGTGATCCTTTGGGATAGGTGCTTAAATTGGATAAATTCCTTGCTGTATTGGTAAATTGGATTAGATGTTTTAATTCAGTTATGTATGTCCCTGTAGTGGAAGGTTTGTTTTTTGGTTTTTTTTGCATTCTTATTGAGAATGACTTCTCCATGTTTCTAGGTGAATATTTTAGAGCTGATGAATTTGCAGATCAGTCTCAAGAAAATCTGAGCTCTTCATCACTCAGAAGAAAACTCTTTTTAGAAGAAAATGGAAGTGTGTCTGAGTGTTTGTCCCCTTCTCTGCGTAGTCCATGTGGTAGTCAGCCACTTGGAGTGCTTTGTTCAATTGACATATCTCCAGTCCGGTGCAGAAGCCCTCTGGAAACATCTAGTTCAGTAAGTAGCCTGTTTTGGATAGGATGTGACTTAGCTGGCACAAGAGTAGTTCTTAGAGCACGCTGTACTGATTCTGTGTTCTAACAGACTTCAGGAGATGAAGAACCGTGTTTCTAACAAGCTACAACTGCTTTATGAGAGAGTAGGTCTTAGACCAAAGGTGTTTGTTGGTTTGGGTTTTTTTTTTCCAAATTCTAACTGCAGAAAAAATTTATGTGAACAGAGAAAGTCTTGAAAGAATATATTACAAAATTCCTATTGCATCAAATCATTATGCTCTGCTGCTGCTATTTTGTATAGAAGGAATTATGCTTTAATTTTGTGTTGGAATTGATGCATATACAAGACTTGCTGGATCTTTGCATGCAGTGCTAAATCTGCTTTTGTCTTTTCCATTGACCAGATATTTCAGATGAATAGACATTTATTAGAACACAGAACATAATGGCTGGGTTTTTTTTTTTCAAATTGAGCAAGATTAATTTTATTCCCGGGTGGACATAGCACAGCTAAACTGGTTTAGGTAGTTATGGTTTCATCTGTTTGGCAGCTGAAGTGCACAGGAAAAAAGGTACCCCAGCAAGAATGTGGCTTTAAAAAAAAAAAATATAAATCCTTGCTATGGTAACCTAGTAAGGAATTCCTACAACATAATTATATTGCTAGAAGTGACTTTTCTTTTTGTACCTTACTCTTAAGCAAGACCACAACCACTATTATTTTTTTCTTAAGAAAAAAAAAGTACTTTGTCCGTTCCCGAGCTAAATAATTCAGATAATACGGATTCCATTAAAATATAGTGGCTGGATTTCATCTGCACTGTAAGGAGTAAGAAATTGAGATTAAATGCTTGACTATATACACGGATAGCATTAATTCCCTGTTTAGGCTTATCATAGTTCTTAAATATAACGGATATTATAGTCTTAGTTGGTATTATGTGACAATTTGAGTCCATTGTTCTTTTCCTATGTTAGAGGCATAAAGTCCAAGTGAAGAGTTGCAGCTGGAGTATTTAAGCTAAACTAATAGAGATTGTTGCTGTGCAGTTGTACAGGATTAGTTTTCCTCGGTGCTACCATATCAAGCTTTTTAATTTGAACACTTTTTATATATAAATACTAGTCAAAGTTTACATTATGAAATATATGTTTGTGTTTTGTTTTTTTTTAACTGTAGGGTCAGTTTTCCTCAAGTCCTATTCAGGGAGGAGCAAGGGCTTATAGTCTTGGAAGTATAACGAGTCCCACGTTTCCAGAGGGGTCTCCTGCACACAATGGTTCTCCTACTTTTTCACCAATTGCTTTTCACATAAGAAAGACACCACTGTCAGGTATGGTTTAATTGTATATGCGTTATTCTTTCTTGGTTTAGATATTTTTCTTATAAAAAGTGCTGCATTCTTACTGGAAGCTTTTTCTGTTCGGAGACAAGTTACTGTGCTTGGCAAACCAGCAGTCTCCTCCCGCATGACAGATTTACTGTTTAGGAGTGAAATATCTTAATGATGTGAAACAGTGAAGTGTATCTGCTTGCAAAAAATCAACTAGGGAAAATGTTTTAGAAGAAGGAATTGAGACCTAATAGGAATGATAATAAATAAAAAAGGGATTAATCTAGTGTGAGGAGGGGATTTAAAGCCATATGCCTGAACTACGTGAGGTCACAATTCTGATTTGGCCCAACCTGAAGCATTTTAATTGGTCAAAGAATGTTTAGCTTGAGTTTTCAAATCATGTAATCATCAAGATTATTTGAAATGAAACTGACTAGTGAAGAAATCACGAACATTTTGTGTCCTCGTTGCTCTAGAAAACGTCAGCATTTTATGTTTTGTCCATTGCCTGGAAAGACTTAATGCTATGACTTTGCTCTGATGAGCCTTGTGGTATTTCAACAGAGTTATATATGGAGATTGCATAGGTTTGATTTTCTTGACAATTTTATTGCTAGCCCAGTTTATTTTAAGTGCTTATAGATTGTGTAACTTTTTTTTTTTTTTTGGAAGAAAGCCAGCCTTCACACCTTTTTCCTGTGAACAGTGTGTGGTATTGCCGTTTGAAAATGCAAGGCCTCTAATACAAAAAAACTCTCATAGGAAACAAATTTTGTGGTAAAAATGGGATAAAAACTTGCCTTTACCATGATAGTTTAAATGCAGTTTAAACTCCCCCTTGGAGCCGGGAGGTGCAGTGCTCAGTGAAACACTATGTAGTTGGCTGTAATTATCTGAAGAACTGTAGGGTTTTGAGGACGATGATGTTAATTCCATCTGATATCTAATAGAACAGCTTTGGTTTTTTTTTTCTTCTTTCTTTCTTCTGTGGACAGACCAAAGAAAACTTACATTTTGTTCTCCAGACATTCCTTCTTCCTCGAATAGAATGACACCCCCAAGTACAAGAAGTCCTTATATAGATGGTTGTTCTCCAATTAAAAATTGTTCTCCTATGAGGCTTGGAGCATGTAGAGGAACTGCCCAGTATCAGACTTCTGTCATTAGAATACCAATTGCAGTTGAAAGTCACGGTGAGGATGAGGAAGACAAGGAAAATGCTTCTCCAGCTGAAGCTCGGTTCCCAGAAATGGATAATGGAATAAAGTTATGTCAGCAAGATGGTGATACTTTCTCATGTGGTACACATCTCGTGGTAGCAACTGTGTCTATTGCACCAGATCACTCGGAAGCTTGTCATCAAAGGTTGTCGTCATTTCAGGATATAGAAGGCTCAAAGGAAAATAATACTGTAGATATGGCTGATGCAGCTGAAGTGTCAGAGGAAAACACTTGGATAAAAGAAACAATTGGCAATAGCAATGCACCGATGACCAGCTTTATGACAGGGATTACTTTCAGTATTGAAAACTCTCGCATGTGCATGTCACCTCTTGCAGAAAGCAGCGCGATTCCTTGTGACAACAGTAGTATTCAGGTAAAAATAAAAATATTTTCTTGCTTCTCTGTAAAACTGAGCTCGACATGCTAACTTTTAGTATGTATGCCATTCTGGAAGTATTTTTTCTCTTTCAGTGGAGTCACCATAGTGATTATAAATGTTTTTTGTGTTACTGTGTACAGTAATACATTTAACTTAATCCAAACTGATTCCACCAGATGCGTTTACAATTTGCTTTTGTTATTAACAGGTGGTAGTTGGTTTGTTGGATTAAGTTTTGTTAAGCAAGTCATATCAGGTGTGAGAATCTAAAGGGTTTATTGGTGATAAATTGCAGTACATTTTTAAAGCCCTGCTTCTTGATTTCAGGTGGACAGTGGTTATAATACACAGACTTGTGGAAGCAGCATTATGGATACCGCGGGGGCTGAGAACAGTTGCAGAGAAAATGATGTGAATCCTAACGTGTTTCAGAATAAATCTCAGCTTCTTAGAACAAAGGTAGGAATTCAGTTATGATACAAAAGTAATAGGCTTTCTATCTAAAGCATCCGTTCCGTATTTTACTCAGTTGCATTCCCTATTTTACTCAGGAGCCTGAGTGAGGGGAGAGATTGTTGGGTGATGACAGAGAGCATGTAGCATCGTTTCAAGTATTATCTTGAAAACAAGGAATAAATGCAGGCAGATATTGTAAGCTGGCAATAAAATTGTGTTCTGTGGCAAAGGCAAAGGTAATTTCAGCACATTTTTGGGGAAAAATTGTCTGCTACTTCTTTTCATAAACTAGCCTCAAGTTTCCTAGACCATACCTGGCATGATGATTTGGTGGGGCACTTTCTGGTTAGGTACAGTCCTTTGATTACAAGCCCTCTGATGACCTATCTTAAAACCAAAACAAACTACAAAAGACAATACCTATCTAGCAAGGCTCCCCAGCTTTTAATCTTGTGACTAATGGGAAGGAGTTCTACTTGGTGAAACACTGAAACAGGTTGCCCAGAGAGGTAGTGGAGGCCCCATCCCTGGAAGCGTTCAAGGCCAGGTTGGACGGGGCTCTGAGCAACCTGATCTAGTTAGCGGTGTCCCTGCTCACTGCAGGGGGGTTGGACTAGATGACCTCTAGGGGTCCCTTCCAACCCAAAACATTCTATGATTCTTCTGGAGAACAGGAAGCAAGGCTAGTTTCTCTGGAGGAGGGGGAAAAGATCATCTCCTCTCACTTAGTGAATATGGTCTTTCTTATAAACTTATGGTCTACTGCTTGGCATTGTTTACAGTCGTTGAAGGGGAGACAGTACTGAGCAGTAGTACCAGGTTATAAAAAGACTCAAGCCCTGACTTCACTTCTGTGTCTGACATACTAGTAGCCGCTTCTCTGCCAAGGTAAAGAGCAGATTGATGGTGTCTTACAGAGCATTGACATCAAATTTTGAGCTCTGCTCATTTAACATTAGGATAACCGTGCCCTTAGAGGAAGAATACGTGGATATATTTTATCTTTAGCTTGTCAAAATACCCATCTACTCTGAGGTCTTGCCCCAGTCACCCTGCTGGACATGGATTGTACGCGTGAATGTATTTACCAGAATCAATTGTCTAACACCAAACTTGTCCTAGAGGCTCTCCAGCATCATGCAGCTGTCTTCTCCCACTGCTAGTCTTTCAGTTGCTAGATCCTGACTATGCCCAAATTTGCATTTTGGATTAGGATTTAAGTGGGGAGGCATTCAGGGCTTCATTCAACTCTCACAACAGAGAACCCCCAGAGAATGAAAAGAAAAAAGCGTGGACGTTGCTGGCTGAAAGAATCCAGTCTGGCTCCTTTCAGAGCACTCACGCTCTGAATGAGGTTCTTGCTGACAGCATGTCTCAAAGATTAGTGCAGAGAAAACATTATCTTTGCTTTCCCTTTTATTTTAGAAGGGGAGAGATGGGAGGCTAAGGTACTAATTGTAAGTTGAAATTTTCAGATCGTAAGTTTGGATCTTGTTTCTTTTGGGGAATTTTTGTGAAAATGGTATTAAAATCAACTTTTCCTTATTAACCTAGGAGTGTTCTGTTTTAAGCCATAAGGACAGTCAGTTGCTGAGAACAAAATCTCCGGAGAAGCAATCCTGTTTCCAAAAAGCAAAACTACATAGTACAGTATTTGGTCAAAATGCAACTTGCAACATTTCGGCCTGGAAACATAAAAATGAAAATCAAGTTCAGGGATTTCATAAAAATGGTATGTAGTTTTCTGATGGAGAGCTTAAATTGTGTTGTCTAATAAATTTTTATATATGTGACCTCAATTACCTGGATTATATATACTATTTTGCTTTTTTAATGCAAATGTAATAAATTGTTATCTATTAAGGGAGTTTTTAAATAATGCGGGGTTTTTCAGGTCTTATTAATTAACAAATGTATTGGTATCATTAAGTGATCCTTTTGAAAATTGAGGTGGCTAGACTTGGTACAAAGAAACCATAGCATTTCTTCAGAATTGTGTTCCTTCTGTGATGAGCGCAGATTCCACGAGGAGCCTTGTTTTGAAAGCTTGGACGTAACTTCAGCTTCAAGAGGAATATTTTAGAGAGACTGAGCAAACCTAGGGTAACTTGTGTAGGAGCCAAGGTAACTGCAAAAAGACCTACGTCTTAAGGCATGAGGGAAATTTTTCTTTGGGGGAGAGAAAAAGGAAAGGAATGTTAGTTTTGATTTGGATTGCTTTTTCCCCTGATCAGATTTATTGTGTGGCTTCCGGAATACTGGCACTGGGTGCCAAGAAAGAGCCACTGGATAGGAATGAACTGCTGGGGTGTGATGAGAGCAGAGCTGGGTGACAGGAGGGGAGTGTGTGTCTGTCAGCGTCACTTAAGTAACAGCCGTGAAACTCAGCTCTGACTTTTGCAAGGAAATAATTTAATTGGTGCTTCAGAAATGGGTCCCTGGAATATGTGTATGTTTTATAGTAGACAGAAAACTGTTAAAAATGGGTGCTTTGATTTTAATACCAGGCTAGTCCTTTTACTTAAGTTTTCCTTGCAAACAGCTGCATGAAAACTCCATTCCAGTTACGGAAATTTTGTACTTTTCCACAATTAAAAAAGTTTAATTCTCGTAGTAATAGAATAAGCTGTATGTCAGAAGAAGCCTTTTAGCAGTTCTTCAAGTTTTTTCCTTGGTTTGACAGAAATCAAGGAAAAGGACAGGTGGCAGAAATCTCTTAATAGGCAAATAGAATCTCTTCCCCCTAAACAAGCAGTTCTTACTCTTAAAACTGTATCTGTCAGTTGGCTTTACCGTGTACTTCAGCAAGATGTACTATTGGTTACTCTAAAATTAAATGATAGTGTTATTACTTCAGTAGCTGTGTTGGTACTGATCTTGAAGTGGATCACCAGTCCCCACCAGTGTCTCTTCTAAGAACAGCTGCATCCAAATTGATGCTCCAGTTCCCTTTTGAAGGAATATGGGAAGGTGCAAGAAGGTTGATTGGTCTCAGTACATCAGTAAAAGAATGGTGCTGCTTTCTTCTATTAAAGGAAACCATTACACTTCTATTTCCTTCTTACATTTAATTCCCAATACTACTCTGTCTGCTTACAGAAATTACCACAATATTTAGATAATGACTTAGAAATATAATTCAATTTTGCATCCCGCTTACTGCAAAAAAGGATTAATATAAATAAATTCTTGATACTTTCAAGAAAACTGTCAATGAACAAAAGTAATGGAATGAGAAGGGTCTGGAAGCCCAGAACTCCCTTTACCTAATCAAATTGGATTTGGTTCAATTTGATGGGATTTGTTTAAAATGACCTTCTGGAATTCATAAATGTGAATGGGGGGAGGAAACATAGAGTAATCTTCTAGCCCTGGAGACTAAGAGCTGAAGAAGAGAGAGGGGAGATACTGAGGTTTCAGGGCTCAGTGTCTACGTGTGGAGTTCTGAAGTAAACTTTGCTGGATTAATCAAAAAGGAAAGCCCATTCTAGGTACGTGCTCCAGGGGAAGCGGCCTTGCTCTCTGTTCATAGCAAGGATATCCAGTCCCAGGAGGACACTGGATGGAAGTTCTGCTGCCCATTTTGTTCCACAACCCACAGAAAAGCTTGTATCAAACTGATGGACCCTGGCTGATGATGGCATGCTAAGCCTGAAAGAGTTGGTCAGGCCTAAATTTGAAGGCAACTGAGGACTTTTTTTTTGTTTTGTTTTTTTTTTAAAAAAATCTCAAAATGGGGATTTAGGAAGGGTATTGCATAGCATTAAAAAGCAAGGCGCTAGACCTGAGACTTGTGCACAAGCATCTTATGAATAGAACAGCTCTTGAAGTATTTTCATTAATAACCCACTAGTGAAGGCTTTCTGAAAATTACACTTGGGGAAACTTCTGTACCATCAAGAAAGCATCATTTGGTTTTAGTTCTCACAGTGCATAAATAGTAATTAAAAAAAAAAAGATATTTCTAACCAGCAAACATGTGTGTTATTTTTACTTCCATAGCAATTTAATCAGTATTTCTGTTATGTGAATCTGATTGATGGTAATTGAACCTAATGTCCTGAATTACCTTTTCATCATCTTGAAAAGAGTGCCCTGCTAAAAGCTGGAAATACGCTGAATTGGTAACTTTTGAGGGACTAATTTTGTTCAAGTAGAGAATGAACATAAGACTTCTGGAAAATGAATTTATTGAATGGGTCATTCAAAACATTCTCAGCTTTCATTTGTAAGGTTTGTAGCTCAAAAGCAAGACACAACTGGTCTGAGATGTAGAAGTTATGACCTTGTGTCTTTTCTGTTTCTCATGATAATTCTCTCTAACAGTAATCAAAAGGGTGAATTTCAGATTTCTGGACTGTACAAAGGATTTATTTTTGCAAGCATCATTACTAAGAATAGCAGTGATGTTAATATAAAGGGGATGGTGAGGAGAGCAGTGCAAATTATGATCTGTTTCTGGACTGTTTGGCATGGTATTTGGGCTTAGTTTTTAATTAAAATTTTTGATTCTTTCTAATATGTTCAGTGATTAGATGCTTTCAAAGTATTCACAAATAAAGCAAAGCAATCACTAAAAATATTTAATTGTACCTTGTAGAACTATTTTCTTAAAGGCAAGGGAAAAGTAGCAGCAGAAATGGGCAAATGTGAGAAATAATCAAGGAACACCCCCCCCCAAATAAATTGCTGGTTATTTTCTGTCCTGTTTTATAGTCTTCAGTTAGATGGGGAATTATTTATTTTATGAAAAAGTACATATTTTTTATGTTGTTTGTATAATTGCTTTGTAGAAGAAACCTACTGTAGAAATCATTTGACCGTTCTGTTCCTGTCTGGCTGTACTCGCTGCATGGGTTGGCACATGTTGCACAAAAAGGTCAATGTTTACATTAAATTAATCTCAGTACTTTTAACGAGAGTCCTTGAACACAGATACCTGTAAATGGAGTTAGTGAAATGGAATAAAGACCTCTCTTTCATACCTGGGCTGTTTTGTGGTATTTTCTCTGCTCCAGTTTGCAGCAGTTGGGGGGGACAGGGAGTGGGGCACAGAGGAAGGGGCTCAGGCAGTTAAAAAATACAGTTAAAAAATGGTTTCAGTTACATGTATTACTATTAATATATGGTGCTGGGCCGGTTGTAGACCCAGTGCTCTGTGCATCTTTCCTGACACTTAAGTTTTAAAAGTTTCCAAATAAGCCCCTTAGTTTAGCGGTGACAGGATTAAAAAGTCTTGTTTGTGGGGTGAGGTTAACTGTGCAATCAGTTACTGTCTCCTTTTGATGCCTTTTCTAAGGCTGTGCTCGATACATCTGATCTGATCCTTCACTACCATGACAGCACCTGGGGAGCTGAGTAAATACACCCATGTGCCAACCAGGTGCTGAGCAGCTTCGAGCCATGGATTCCCCAAGGAAACCACGGAGGAGTAGGTTACTTGGAGCTGTAACTCCACAAAGCTTCCCCAAGGAGGGGCTGCAGTGTGTGGGATGGCAGGTGGAATTTATCTTCCAAGAGTAGATTCTGTCAGCACTGGAGACCAGTAACCAGCACAATTACTTCTTTGGGTTGTGAGGTGCTAAAGCGAAAGCCCTGAAGAGACTGACTTGTGTCAGGCTCTTGAATGGCCTTAAGGCTGTTAAAAGAAAAAAACCAAAAACCGCAACAAAAAACCAAAGACCCAGCCCCCAAAACAAAACCACAACTTTTTCTTCACTTTGCAGAAGCATTTATTTTCACTCATAAGACAAAACTGTAGGCAATGCTGGGTTTTAAAACTATTGTTCTCCTGCATACATATAGTCATAAAAAGTTTTTTAAAAAAGGCCAGTTTTACAGATTATTAAAATGTATATTTTAAAAGGAAACAAAATCTGTTCCTAGCGTTTTGCCCATAGGGAAAAAGATACAAATACAAATAACTTGTGTGTGATTTCCTATTAACTTTTATATCCAGCTATTTTTGCAGCTTCTTTCTCTTTTTCTCCGGTTCACTCTTGCTGCTTATCTCCACAGACAAGTTTGCAGGCACCTCATCTCCTAGTATCTACAGTAAGAAAAGAATTAGAAGTCAGAACACTTTTAAACTCGCATATTTACTATCCTGATAAAACTCAAGTTTACCTGTACAGACCTTTTGTTAAACACTGTATCAACATCAGAAAATTCTGTTAGTAATCCTCTGAAAAAGGGTGTGCTGTCATACAAGCAGCACAGCTAGACAACTCAGCGTCAGGAAAAGGTGGAAAAAGGTGAGGGAAATACAAAAATTTGAACTGTCAGCAGCTCCTTTTAGCTCCAGCTGTTTGCTATGCCCTGGCAGGTGCTTACAAGGCCAGGAGTATGAATGAGAGGGGTGAAAAGGGGGTCTTAAACCTAACAATTTTCATTTTGCTCTTAAAACAATCACAAAACACAATCGCTGTGGTGTTTTCTGAAGCGCTGCTCCTGTCAAGCAGAGGCCCTTGTCAGGCTCAGGACACTGCCTAGCAAAAAGGCATTTAGCTTTGGTAGAAACTGGAAAAACTTCTGAAATAAGTAGAGAACAGACCTTCTCATAACGCAAAGAAAAAGGAAGAGCCCAAAGGACTTGTCAAGGAAAGAGGTGATTGAGAAGCACGCTGTGCGTTCTTTGAGAACAGGGAAATGAGCAGCATTCAAGCAGGGAAGAGTGAAGCAGGCTACGATGAAATACAGTTTGCTTAAGCGGGGTTCATAAAACAATTGGACCGAGACCAGACGCATGCATGCTCCTCTAGGCTCGAGTTGCTGGGCAAACTGTACAGTCTGATGAGAGCGGGTGACAGGCCCCGCAGAAGCTGGGTGTGAGGAAGCTGATGGCTACGACTTTTAATACCAGGTTACAAGTTCTGTGACAGCGACGACAGCACAGGCCAGTGGAAGAGTCATTTAAGTGTATTGGAGTAACACAGGCACCCGTGCGGGAATTAAACCTCCGTGAGGAGAAGTCTATGGAGAGGCCGTCGGAACAGGCGACACGGTAACAATGAATTACCTTCAGTGAGTAAAGACAAGACAGTGCCTAGGTTTCTTGGTGCCACAAAGGCCTGTTTCCTGCAGCAACTAGTCAGAGAATGCATAAAAAGGGAGCAGCAGCTCTCGCCAAAGAGGTTACCCACACAACCAGCCCCCCAATACCGATTTCAGCATACTTACTCAAAATGCATCATCGTGGTAGAAGGAAACAAACCACCACAACCCAAACCTTAAAATGCGTTATATCAGCAATAATAAGGAATTTAGTGCAGATTTTACGAAGGGGGGGCTGCAAAAAGGTAAAATGCTTTCAGGGGTGAGATGGCATTTAAAAAAAGACTTGGAGTGAGAATATGCCACTTATCAACAGAATGTCAAGAGAACAGTTAAAAGAAAAGCCATTGGAGTGATCAGTATTACAAGTCTACAGACATCCTTTTAAGAAGTGAAAATTCTGTCCAAATGAAGAAGTAGTAAGTGCAAAATTCAGTTAAAATAAATGGGCAAGCCCAAAAGACTGAGAAGCAGTAATAAAAATAAATAGTAATAAAAAGTAATAAAAATTCTCTAAGTAAGTGAGAGGCAGGGAATTCTTCCTTGCTCCTCCATCAGTGGATACCTTGATGATAACGAACACCTAAAAGCAGGCATGAACAACAGGTAATCAAAGTGTATTTGAAGCACTCAAGAAAATTAAGACCAACATCAAGAAAATGGTTACAAATGATCATCATTAAAAAAAAAGTTTAGAACAAACTGGGTAAGAGGAATACTAACAGTGCCAGGACTAGACACTGTCCATCGAAGAGTTCTAAAAGCAAGCGTCAGTAGCAACTGTTGGTGTGTATAAACTCATTGCTTAAAACTGGTCTTGGTACTAGAACGAATGAAAGATGATGCAAAGGGTTCCCAGGTAACACCATTCATCATGAAAATCCCATATGGAACTCTAAGTATGTGATCCTGTACGGATCGATGGCGTGCTCACATTCAGAATTGTGCGTATGCTTCTGTTCCTCCCAGCTCAAAAAAAACCCCAACTGTATAACTGAACTACAAAAACATAGAGGCGATGAGGAAGATCAAAGATACAAAATAGTTTCCAGAAAAGCAGGAGCTAACATAGTGCATAATGGAAGTATATAGAATGAGCGGCATGGGAATGGTAAATAGGAATAAAAGATTATTTTCTACAGTGTAGGACAGCATGTCATCAAGTAACAGTATTACTTGCTTGAAACAAATGAAAGGTTAAATACTTTTTCATAGACGGTGAGCTGGGGAACTCACTGTTACGAGATACCACAGGGGTCAGAAGGGTAAGCTGGGGAAAAAAGCGACTAAAGAAAGTCACAGAACAAGACTCTGTGGACTGAACAGAGAGATATGTATCTCTGGGTGAGACTGTATTTACGCTGTACATTGCTGGAAGCTTTGAATGGAGGCAAAGGGAATGATCACTGTATGTGCATCTTATTCCTACACTTGCTCCTTACCAGGAAGGAGGACTAGTAACTGCTGTTTAGGCTGACAGTATTTTGGATTAACCAGTACGGCCATTCCTGTATCAAGGGGTAAGCTGAAACTATAGCATTGGCTTCATTGTAGACCAAGGAACCTCACAGAAATGAGTACAAGAAACAGAAGGTAAAGGCAGCATGTATGGGTGGAATCAGCTTGCATTAGCCTTGCTTTGTGTGTCTATTTTCAATGAACAAAGCGTGTCCCTCGGGGACTGGAGTCTTTGCGGCAGGAGTGCTCCTGAGCTGCGCCCACCACGGCAGCTCTGGCAAACGCTAGCTGGGGAGCTCAGCACGTGAATGCACAGCAGGGTGCAAGGTCTCGTTCTTACTACAAACTCCATTATCCACTCCCACTTTTTGAAATCATGAGGGTTGCCTTCAACTCAAGTGAATACCACAAAGATCAGAATATTTACAAGTGTTTGGAAACAGATGATTCCTCAGAAAAAAATAGTATTTGACTGTATAACAATCAAGGATCTCTTGCTTATTTTGGGTTTTCTTTTTCCTCCGTGATTACGGATACTCAACTACTGCAACCACCTGTTTACCTAAAAAGTCACATGTAACCGAATAAAAGTACAGAATCTTGTGATGGCACGCAAAAAACTCAGCAGGCCTGAGGTGTGAGACCAGGTGACAACCCCAGTGTCCCAGACGTGCTAAGAAGCTAGAATTGAAATTCTTAAGACCAGAGACATGGTTACAAGGGCATTACAGTTCTTACAACATTATCAAGAGAGAATTTTTGTATTGTGGAAGTTGCAAGAAAGGACTGCCATTCACAGCCAGCAATTACATAGAGCTTCCTTCTGAGCCAGCCTTCACAGTTACACCGTAATTTACTGGAGCAAAAAGATCTTATGGAGTTTTGGCAGATTTTCAAAAGGGAGATTTGATTACAGGCCCATGAAATTCAAAAGATATTGCTTCAGCAAATCATCATCTTTCCCATC